TTTTGCAATTCTTGAAAAGTGTACATTGCCCGATGCATATTTGTTCCGGAACCGGTATTGTTTCAAATCCCATCACAAATTGCACATCTACACTAACATTAATAAATAAAGAAATATATATATATATATATTTACAATTCAATTAATTTATCGAAGTTGGCAGTAACATACTAACATTAAATATTTACGTGACAAAATTTAAATTTTGACCTAAAACGACAAACATCAGAGATAAAATAGTGCCTATGATCAATTGCACTTTCCTCTCCATATTTTATTTAGCTCTTCAAAATTTTTGATTCTTTTTCTTATGATGATGATGTTTATATAAATAGGTACACATTATATATATAGGTTGGAGGGGGAGAGGGGGCTTACCATTGGAGAATATAATATTACACTCCATTAATTTTGTTTTTTTTTTTTTATTTTTTTATTTTTTTTGAATAATTTTAAATTAATATTTAAAATGGTAAAAGAATATTATTATGTAAAAAAAAAAAAATCATGTCAAATTAGTAATATTAGCAAACTATGGTCATTGTTGACATTATGATGGATGTATGATATAATATGAATTATATACTTTAATATCTTTCCAACGTTATTATAGTAATATATATAGTTTTTTTTTTCTATTTAATTTATAATTACAACCGACGACATGTGAAGATGTTATATATTATTTTCATAATTCTACGTTAGATTTAATTAAAATTTTAATATCTTACCCCTATATTCTACTTAAAAAATGTATTTATATTTAAAATTTTATATTTTTCTATAAAATTAATTTATATTAATTATAAATAAATCAAAATTTTAATTTAATTGTATTATATAAAATTTTATTCTCTACAAAATAATATTCATATAGCATATATATTATTTTATATATATTATTGAAATAATAGTATTTCAAATATTTAAATAAATATTTTAAACTTCTTTTAATTATATATAATATCATAATATATTATTAATCAAATCGTGTCAACGGTTGTGAAAAAAAAATCAAATCGTGTCAACTGTTGTGAAATGGAAATAGTATCCTACTATGTTAATATTATATTTTTATTTTTATATTTTTTTTATCAAAAAAATTATATTCAATACTTGTTTATACCATATATATACTATATAATTTTGATTTAGTATTTTATTACTTTTAAATATATCCAAAAATATTTTATAGTAAAGCATTGCACATATGTAATATGATTTGTATAATAAACAAATCACAATATTTTTTTTCTTTAGAGATTGATTTATGTTTTTAATTTGAATTATAGTTTACATACGATACTTCATGAAAATATATATACTTTTATATATATAAAAAAAAATATAATGTGTGTTCTTTTCGGAAAAATTATCAGCACATTTTTTTAAAAAATTTAATATATTACACAAGATAATAACTTTTATATTATCTGTACAATTTTTTATATTTCACATAAAAATATCACTTCAAACAATTTCACAAAACAAAGACATCCATAATTGTAACACAGTAAAGATCTTGAAGGAAAATAGAATATTTTTATTGATAATTGTATTTCCCCAATAATAAAAAAAAAAAAAACAAACACAAAAGAAAAATATCTTCTATTATAGTGTTTAGTTGATTTTTTGGATAAGATTTTGAGTGTCATATTTTTTAAAAATATATATTTTTATATATGAAAAAATTGTAAGTAATTATTAAATGAATAGGGAATTAGTTAACATATTATATTAAAATAATATATGTATTAAGAATTTGTTTATTTAATATTATTAAATATAATAATTATTCATTAATATTATTAAAAAATATAATATATATATATATATTTTATCCATTTACATAAAATCTGTAATAAAACATCAAATTTTTATGTTTATATTATCAATATAAATTTTTATATTTAATATAAAATATATATATTCATACAAAAATACAAACTGAACAAATTATAATTGAGCAATAACAAAATACCTGAAACCATCAGCGTCAAAACAACGAATAAAATTCCTGTTGTGCTAATCTTTGCCATAGCCACTCACACACAATTAATTGATTTTAGTTTGTTATGTGATTGTAGAATGATATGTATGTAAATATATATATTTATTTATTTATTTAGTATATATAGCAATAATAATGTCTAAGGATAATTGATTTATTAAGAAAATCCATATGATTTATTACAACCTTCTATGTTATGATACATTTACTTAATTTTTTATTTTTTTTTCCAATTATGTAATAAAACTTGATATTCATATATAAATCTCATTTTATTCGCTTTAGATGGTTACTATTTATTTAAGATAATGGGAAAGTAATTAAATATTAAGGAATAATTTTTGTGTTTATCGAGACAAATAGATATATACATATATTGTATTAAATAAAAAAATTGGTGTCTTTCAATTTATATTTGTATACATGCTATATAAAATTTATTTTTTATGCTAAATCAATAGTAATGTGTATAATCAACAAATATTTATTAAATTTGCATATTAATTTGAAATAATAAAAAATAAAAAAACCTTACAAGACATAATATGTTGCATTATATAATGTATTATTTATCATATTAATATTTGTTATTTTTTTTTTTATAGATATGGATCAAATTATTATTGTATTGAAATTAAAATATTTTTTTGCTAAAATCAAAATATGTTTTTCTACTTATAATTATATAATATGTTATTTAAATATGTATTGTATATTATATTAATATTTACTATTTTGTTTAGATAATTAGATCAAATCAACACTAATTTAACACAATTAGCATATTAACGGGAGCAATGAAAGTTTATCAAAACATATACTCTCTCCGTCCCGAATATTTTGTCCGCTTTACTATAGGTACGAGAATTTAGGAGAGGTATAACTAGTAAATAATTAAAAATGTATTAATAAAAATAATTATAGTATAATAAAAATAATTATAAATTAAGATTAAGATAATTCATTTAGTATAATTAAAAGTAAAAAAATTATAAATTAAAGTTTTTAAAATAAATTTAAAGTGTATAATTTTTTTTTAAAAAAAAGTAACAAAAATAAATGGAACGAACGAAAATGAAAAAAATAAACATACAAAATAAACCGAGGGAGTAATATATTTGTATTAATTAATATCATAGGTTGTCAACACAAAAACTACCCCCTATATGTTGACATTGAAATAAGAACAATAAAACTATAAAATATCCAATAAAATAAAATAAATAAATAAATAATAATAATAGTAATAATAATAATAATAATAATAATAATAATAATAAGGATTTATTGTAAATATATTCAGTATGTTCATTTCATTTTTCAACGAAGCAATTCTTCATAAATACTTTCTCCGTCTCAGATATATTGAGGGTGTTTGGGAAACAATGTTTTGAAGAGCTTTTAACTGTTTGATCAATCAAAACGCTGATTTAGGTGTTTGGTAAATTAGCTTTTTGAAAGAGTTTTTGGACCTAAAAATCTAATTTTTGAAAAGTTCATCTAGCCAACACTTTGAAAGAGTTTTTTTATTTTAATTTTTGTTATTCATTATTTAACCTTAAAACTTAATTATTTATTTTTTACATATAAATATATTTTTATAGCAATATTTATTAATTATTTTTAATATATTTAATTTATTAAATTATATTTTTATTTTTGTAAATTTAAAATAATTACTATTATTAATTATTAGATATAAATTATTTTATTTGTAAAATATATAATTTAAAACTAAATCAAATAGAAAAAAAAAAGTTATTAATTTATTTATATATATTAAAACAATAATTAACATAATAAAAATATATATATATATACGAAAGATTTATTATTTTATATTTTACATAATTTTAATAAAAAATTATTATTTTTTAGTAAAAATAATTTTTTCGGATCTAAATAATAAAAATAAAAATAAATATTTTATAATATTTTTATAATTTTCAATAATTAATAACAAAAATTCTCATAAATTTTCAAACCAAAATAAACAAAATTAAATATTTTAAAAAATAACATATCAATGTCCTTAATAGTCATTTTATGTATAAACAGCTAATGTCAAATGTCAAACCGTTGTTTTACCAAACACTTTAATACAAACCGCTAATTGAATCAGCTAGTCAAACCAGTTAATTGAATCAACTAACAGCTAATTGAATCAGCTAACAGCTAAAAGCTATCAGCTAATTGTCAAACGCAGCCTTTGTCCGGGTTACTGTTGACAAGAGAATTTAGAAATAGTATAATCAGTATAATAAAAATAATTATAGAATAAGATTAAATAAATAATTAGTATTATTAAATTTTTAAAAATAAGATTAAAGTGTATAATTTTTTTTCAAAAACGGAAAAATGACAAAATAAGTGGGACGAACGAAAATGAAAAGGTGGACATCAGAAATGGGACATGAGTATTATTTTAAAAAATACAAACGCACACTTTAATATGATATATATATCATATATTCATAAAAAGTCAATGATATAAAATATTATCTTTTATATTACCAACATAGTTTTTCACACCATACATAAGAAAAAATTAATTCATCTAAAAACGTGAACCGAATTATATAGAACCCACCACTAAGCCAACTGAATTTTCGGTTAATTGAACAATTCCGGTTCAAATACAAATATTGTATATTTAATATTTGTCCAATTTCGATTTTTTAAAATTAACCGAATCGAATATATTTAATATTTTAAAATTATATAAATAATTCGGTTTGAAATATTTGTAAATATTTTTATTTAATTAAAATTTTAATTATTTTTTATTGTATTTTTTAAATTCGATTCTATTTATTTACAAATATTTTCACTTTACCTAAAATTGGATTAATCAAAATTTTCTGTTCAAATATTGTTTGTAATTTCGAATATTTGTTCGATTAAGTTTGAATACTTAAAACACTTGCATATTTAAAAATAGTCTAACCGTAAAATAGACGAACCGTGCCTACCTGTTTGGACTATTTGCGCAAATAATCTAAACGGCTAGTCTGGGACTCATTACAATTAGGCCCTTAAAACTTCCTTCAAGCTACAGACTTTAATGGCGACAGCATCTTTTACTAATTTACGATAATCTTTGTTTTGTTCGCTGTTTTGTTCATTTCAATTCGATAAAGAAGATTAGAGTGTGAGAAATCAGCAATTTTTTTCTGTTTGAATGTTTTTCTGTGTTTTGTGATTTCAGTTCAATTGCGTCTGGTCCAAACCCTAAATTTCTGCTTTGCGCCGCATAAATTTGAATTCCTCGAGCCATGGGCGGCGAGTCGCGGTTCGAGATCCATCAGAATGCCTACATGAAGCTGGTTCTCCACGCTCTGAAGCACCGTACATCGGCCGTCAACGCCGTCCTCATCGGTCGGTCCGTCGGTGGTGGCGCGGCCGTTGAAATCGTCGAATCTGTACCTCTCTTTCACTCGCAGATCGGCCTTCTTCCTCCCCTTGAAATTGCCCTGTTTATGGTTCGTTACACGCTAATTGCTTATTATTACTATTATTAAGCTAGTTTGGTTTTTTATTTCGAATCTGAAAAACAATAGATAGAGGAGTACTACTCAGAGAAAGGCTTGAGCATCGTCGGTTATTTTCATGCTAATGAGAGGTTTGATGATGTCGAATTAGCAACTGTTGCCAAGAACATTGGAGATCACATTACTCGGTATTTTCCTCAGGCAGCCTTGCTATTGGTATGCTTAATTAATTTGGTTGAAATTCTTTGATATTATCTTTGGAGGATGGAATTGTAGATTTCAGGGTCAATTTTGAGCCTTCAAAACTGTGAATTTTCAGTTGGACAATATAAAGCTTGAGTCATTATCCAAGCAAAAAGATCGAAGCCCTGTGATGCAGGTTCCTTTTTCGAATTTCCAGCAATGTTATGTTTCGATCTTTTGATTCATCTAAACTGTTTAAACTATGAGTAGTCCATGTTTTCATCCTTATTTTTTCGAATCTAACTATCGCAAAACTAAGTTGTAAAGCTTTAGTATCTCTCAGCATTGTTATGTTGTTATGTTTCGATCTTTTGATTCGTCTAAACTGTTTAAACTATGATTTGCCCATGTTTTTCAACATTATTTTGCTGAATCTAACGATAGCACAACTAAGTTGATAAGCTTGAGTAGCTGTCAGCAATGTTATGTTTCGATCTTTTGATTCATCGAAACTGTTTAAACTATGAGTTGTCCATGTTTTCAACCTTATTCTGTCGAATCTAACAATAGGACAACTAAGTTGTTAAGCTTTAGTAGCTCTCAGCAATGTTATGTTTCGATCTTTTGATTCAGCTAAACTGTTTAAACTATGATTAGCCCATGTTTTTCGACCTTATTTTGTCGAATCTAACAATAGCACAACTAAGTTGTAAAGAGTTAGTAGCTCTCAGCAATGTTATGTTTTGATCATTTGATTCGTCTGAACTGTTTAAACTATGATTTGCCCATGTTTTTCAACCTTATTTTGTCGAATCTAACGATGGCACAACTAAGTTGTTAAGCTTTAGTAGCTCTCAGCAATGTTATGTTTCGATCTTTTGATTCATCTAAACTGTTTAAACTATGATCTGCCCATGTTTTTCAACCTTATTTTGTCGAATCTAGCAACAGCAAAAACTAAGTTCTAAAACTCTAGCAGCTCTCAGCAATGCTATGTTTCAATCTTTCGAATTTGTCAGAACTGTTTAAACTATGATTTGCCCATAATTTTCAACCTTATTTTGTCAAATCTAACGATAGCACAACAAAGTTGTAAAGCTTTAGTAGCAGCTACATTGAATATCAATTGGCTTCATCCAGCAAAGAAATATGAAGAACTCATTCTAGAAAAGTTCCAATTTCTAGAGACCCTTGTATCGAAAACTTCTATAAATTCTGCTGATATCACAAGCAATTTCCACGATAATATTATTTACTTTTCGACTTAGAAATTCAATTTAATATGTTTCCATCGATTTCCAGCTTTATAGGAAGGACACATCTAGTAGTTGGAAGCTAGCTGGATCCGACGGAAGTAGCCCTCTTTCTCTGAAGGAGCCTACGGCGAACATATTGTTGTTGGATTACATTTCATCCGGGAAATGGAAGGACATCACAGACTTTGATGATCATCTAGATGATCTCAGCGAGTAATAAAAATCGACTGGTTTCTCTCATTAAACCCTAGTCGAAAGTCCCCTCTTTTTGCATCGAAGCTAATGCAAGGAATTGTAATGTTTTGTAGGGACTGGCTGAACCCGGAACTTTTCAAATAAGCATCATCGATATGCAGTGAAGCTTAAACTGAAAAGGTATTGATGCTCTCCCCTTGGCTTAGTTTTCATTTACGATCTTAGTTTGTGATCATGTTTTACATGATTGAATTGACTGAATTTTCATGTTGGAATATCGATTCGGTGTTTATGTGGTTCGTGATTTGAATGCCGTGATTCGGAAGCTGATTCGCGCTTTCATTCTACTTGGTTATGTTCGGTGTCTGAAAATCGGTTAATTCAGTTAATCGATGGAATTTAATTTCGAATTAAATTCCTGATTATTGGTGGAGTTTATTAATAATGTGGTCAGATATATACCTTAGAACCAACACAACTACATGAACATGGGTTTTGTCTCATGCTCAAAGTTGATTGGTCTGGTTGTGGATTTGGACTTTGGAGAAAATAAATTAAATATTATTTTTTTATATTATCAACAGTCATTTTCGTATTTAAAAATAATTTTTAAAAAATAATAAAAATAAAAGCATCCATAAAAAGACTAAGAAAGGAAGTATGATTTACAGCAGGCCTAAGAATACAGCCCAAGACCTGTGGACTCAAATCATATTGGCCCGAAATACTTCAACCCATGGTGAGGGCCCAAATACTGTGGGCCTATATCAGACTCTTCCAGTTTCTATTGGGCCCATATCTGACGGGCCCAAAAGGCCCGAAAGATCGGCCCAATGTCAGACGGGCCCAATTGTATGGGCCGGTCCAGGGAGGCCGAATTAAACGTTTACATGTTTAACAGGCCCAATTTTTGGGCCCAATTAGATCTGTTTAGACAAGACCATATTCAATGGGCCCAAATGCTGTCGGCCAGGTCAGAAAGGCCCATATCAAGAAGGCCCAAAGTGCTGTCCGCCCTCCCAAATCTGACCTGTTTACACTGTTGGCCCATTTGTTATTTTCTATTTTTATTTTTTACTACTATATTTTTATTATTTTATTTATTTATTATTATTTTTTTGTTTAAAATATCATATGCATAGCAATTTTTATATAAAATATTATATCAAACCATTTTTATCGCCTCCAGTTATAAAAATAAACACGAAAGAACACACATTGTTGTGTTTCTATTTTAATTTTAGATAAAATATGAATGTTTCTAGAAAAATGTGTTCACTTTAATTGTAATATTGCATTAAAAAATATATATATAATAAAGCAAATAGTTATATAATGTACATTATATTAAGTAAATAAATACTTTAGCCAATCAATCTATAATTTATATATATAGTACTTTATTTTATGATGGTTCAAATTATAGATTAAAGCTATACTTTGATGATAAATAGCCATAATATTTTTTTTATATTGTTTTATATTCTAAAATCTCAAAATTAAATTGTTGATTGAAAGATATTGGATTTGTTTATTAGTATTTTTGGATGACATAATTTTTTATAAATTTTAGTTTAAAAAATACAATATATATGCATTAATATAATATATAATATATATATACTTTAATTCACTGCTACTATTGATTTTTAAACACAAAAAATATATGGCATACAACATATATAACTAAACGACAAATACTTCATACTTTTATATAATTCACATTCTGTTCCGGATAAATTGTCTATATTACTATAGATACAAGAATTTATATTAAGTATAGTTAGTAACTAATTAAAAATTATATTATTAAAAATAATTATAGATTAAAATTAAAATAACTGAATATGTTAATTAAAATTAAAAAAATTTATAAGTTATTAAATTTAAAATATGAGCAAAATGTATAGGATTGAAGAAATAAAATAAAATAAAATAACAAATTGCGTTAGATGGGCCAAAATAAAAAATAATAATATTCTATATAAGATTGAGAAAATATGATATATATGTATATATATTTGATTTAACTTAGTCAACACAGTAAATATTTCTAAATATTTAATTACTTTCCCATTATCTTAAATAAATTGTAACCATTTAAAGGTGAATAAAACAAGATTTATGTATACATTTCAAATTTTAGTACATAGTAATTGGAATAAATCCTTTTTAAGTAAATGTATCATAATATAGAAGATTGTAAGAAATCATACGAATTTTCTTAATAAATCAATTATCCTTAAGACATTATTATATATATATATATATATATTGACACACATATCGTTCTACAATCACAGAACAAACAAAAACCAATTAGCTATGGCAAAAATTAGCACAGCGGGAATTCTATGCATAGTTTTGATGCTGATGGTTTCAGGTATATTAATATATATGCTCAATTAATATATATTATAATATGTTAACTAATTTTCTATTTCATTTAACAATTATTTTTATTTTTAAATATATAAAAATATATTATTTCTTTTTTATAAACTGTCACATTCAAATTTAAAAACCAATTGTTTGTTTGTTTATTTTTTCTTAAATAAAAATATTTGGCCAATATATTTACTAATAACATTATATTAGCTCGTCTTATAAAATATCATACAAAAAATTAAACTATAATATAAATAAAAAATTCAAACCAAATAAATATTTACTTTTATATGTAAAATATATATTTATACTATATATAAAATCTTATTTCAATTTAAATTTATATTATTTTCAAATTCAAACCTTAGACATATATATTTTTGGTAACTTTTATTTACAATCTAAATAATGAATTAAATACTATAATAGAATATATATTTTTTAAATCAAATCGGTTGGTCGGTTTGTTTTTACAGGAGGTAAAGTTTGCTCGGGAGTGGAGGTGCCAATAGTGTGTATAGGTCTGTGCTCGGCGTACCCTGATTGCAGGGCCGCCTGCGAGTCACATGGGCACCCCCGCGGGGGCCGCTGCACGCGCTTCGGAGTCGGCGAGGAACTCGGCCCCTTCGACTGCTGCTGTATCAGTAAGGTCTGCCCCCCCGCCCACAAGGGAAAATGCACCACCCTTAATATTTAATTAATATCTAATTCCTTCTCAATCTCTAGTGTAACCATCGACTCAAAGAATATTAGTATTATTATTTTTATTAATATCACTTCATCAATTCTAAGGGTGTGTTTATTTAGGGGTTTTTTTTTCCGGGAAATTTAGGTTTTGGGTTGAGTTGGTAGAATTTTTATGTGTATTGATTTAATAGTAATAAATATAATAATATAAATGTGTATTAATTTATATAATTTTATTATAAAATTTATATTATACTTACATATATATATTTTAAAATTTTTATTTATTTGTATTATAAAAAATTTTACTGTGTACAAAATGACATATATATTGTACATATTTTATTAAATTATAATTATTATAAATTTTATATATATTTATAATATTTTTTTTTAAAAAAAGGAAAAGAAACAGACGCTCTGTCGTCCAAACCGGCTCAAGCCTTTTTGAACTAGTTTACAATGCAAAAAGTGTTTCTTTCAACTGCAAATGATAAAGAATTTTGAGTTTGTTCTTCCAATCATTTTTCCTCAAACGATTTTCAATATATATAATATAATATATATTTTTTTTAAAAAAAAAATCAACATTCAATTCAAAATATAATTTTTATATTAACAATATAATTTTTTATATCATATATAAAAATAAAAAATAAATTTCAAAATAAAATACTAAACAAACTAATTTTTCTTTTCCTTTTTCATATTTATTTATACTTCTTCCATTTTAAGGCCCATTATTTTTAGACACAATTTCAAAAATATTAATATTATATCAATAATCAATATAAAGTGTTTTAAAAATCATTTTTATCATTGTGAAGATAGGTGCTAAATATAGGTATAACAATAATAATAAATATAAGAATAATTCTATTGTAATATAATTATTTATGAAAATAAGACTATAGGTATTTTTTTTTTATTAGTTTGAAAAGAAATTTAGTTTGAATTTGATATTAAAATAATGTTTTATAAAATATTTATGAGAGAAAAAAAATGTATTTTTTTTTTTTAAAAAAAACATATCAAATAATAAAAAATTGTGCTTTTTTGGGTAAATAAACACACCCTATTATTTTAAAATAGATAAAATTGATAAAAACAAAACTCTTATTTTGAAACTAAGGGCATAATATTCATTCAAAATTAGTATTCAACCCTTAAATAAGTTTTGTTTATTCAAGATTTCTAAGCTGGATTTTACTGTGATTAATATATATATATTTTTTTCAAAACATTAAATTGAGTATTTTCTTTATTATAAAAACATGGAATTTGTAGTGAAAAATATAGAAAATAAAATACAACGATTTGAATTAATCAATTGGAACTTTATATTGCCATAGAAAAATGAGAAAATAAATTAATCACAAAAGAATCAATCAATAAAAGAAAATTCAATGAAAAATTTGTGAATAAATATTGTTATATTTAATTAATGTATTAATAATAATAATAATAATAATAGTTCCTTCACTCCAACAGAAAGTATAATAGTAAAAATAATTATAATTTAATAAAATAATTATAGATTTAAATTAAAATGAATAAATAATTTAATTAAAATAAAAAAATTATAAATTATGAATTTTAAAATATAATTAAAGTATATAATTATATTTCAAAGAAAAAAAATAAATTACGTAAACGAACCAAAATAAAAAATAAAAAGAATGAAAATGAGGTGGAACTAAGGGATTAATAATTTAAATTCTATAATTTATAATATTAGAATAACATATTAAAAAAAGCCATAAAATTAAATATTAATAAAAAAATAACCACGCATCCAAATATTCAAATTTATTTATTATTATTATTATTATTTATTTCACTGCACAAAACAAAGAAATGAAATTAGATAAAGATCGCTTGATTATCATATCAATAAGTATTAATATACTATAAATAAATATTTAATATAATATTTTAAACTTAAGAAAATATTGCAATACCAATACCAATAATACCGTTAAAATAAGAGACTTGAAGCTAAAAGATAAAGATTTAAAAACCACTTGCCTCATTCAACCTCCACCGGCGGCGAGTTCGACGGCGAGCTCCCGGACAAGATCCGCAACGACGGCGTCTCCAATCGCCTCTCCGAACTTATCCATTTCCAATTTCAAATGTTCGATCCATCCCTTTCCAGCCACTTCATTTCGCGCCATTTTATCCACCGTCAAGTAGGTGGAGCTTTCGCCGGAATCATCCAAAACACATTCGATCGCCGCGCCGGAAAACATGTCGTTCAGTCGAGACCATACCTCGTCTACCGAAGAGGATGTCTTGATCTTCTTTTCGGCCCAAGGATATGAGCTCCACTCGTCTTTAGTAACCTCCGACAATGCTGCATTTACGCAGTCGAACACGAGCTTTTGATTCGACCGCCATTGTTGATCTTTTGCTAGCTCATCGTCGATTGTGTCCGTCTGCGCCAAAATTGAGTCAGGTCGCACCTCGCCATCTGCAGAAGATAATAACTTCTTGACATATAGACACCATTTTTCCTGTTCTTGGATCGGGGATTTTTCGATCAGGGTCGTTGTTAATGGATCAGCTCCTGAATCATTGTTGTAGTAAGAACAAATAAAATCCCGATTCGAAAATAATGCGGATGAAGAAATGGAACAGAAAAATTCATTTGGGACGAGGGGGTACCATGCTCCTGAATCAGGGTTGTAACAGATATTGAATTCGGGGGATCCTGATTTTCATTTTCACCTCGATTGTTAGATCCAGTCGGCTCTGCAGCAGCCGAGCCAATCTGCAAAAGTCGTAAACTGTATAATGTTAGTCTCCATTATTCCGATCAAGAACTCCATTGATATCCTATCGTAATTCATCAAGAAAGAGCTTTTGAATAATTTGTATTATAAGATTATGTTTCATCATATCATCTTATGTTCCACATATCGATCAACTCTTAGCTAAGGCGGGGACGGGGCTAATATTAACGATCTTAAAAACATTTTGAAGAATACAGAAGCATAATCCAGACAAGGAGAAAGCATTGAAATTACAGAAGTGAAATTACCTCATGACCAATTAAACTAGACGAAGATCGTTTTCTTGATTGTTCTGGCAGACGAGATGGCGCAGCATTGGACTGTTCATCAACATGCTTTCCAGTCCTATCCTTGCAAGCTTCTTCAGATGATATATATTTGTGTTTACCAGGTTTTCTGTACCTCGAGAAAAAGAAACTCGAAACTTTCCCTGCGAAAGAAGATGTAATACGTGTATTTCTGTCGTTCTTAACAGCTTCGAGTTTACCCTTATTGGAGCTTGGAATGCCAATGTGAAGCTTAATACGGAAATCTGTAGAAGCAGGGACAGATTTCGACCTCAAGATTGGTCTTGCTGAACTAACTAACAGAGATGTTGAAGTTTTCGGTTGTTGAATGGATCGACATTCTTCACCAGGAGACGCTGACTTCTTTGGCTCAGAAAGAGAAAGAACTTCACCTAGTGTGATGGAACTTCGCTTACTGTGTTTTGATTCTTGGAAACTCGCATTCATTGCCATCATTGTCCATCGCTCAGAGAGACGTTTCTTAGCTTCTCTGGAAACAGACAACTTGGAGGAAGAAGATGCTCGGCTAAATGTGGAAGGTGAAGGACTGCCAATCCCGTTACCATTAGAATCACTGAGATTACTCTCTGCACACTCAGTTTCCGACTTATTGAATGAGGTTTGATCACCCACATAACCATTAGAATTTGAAGCTTCATTTCTATGGAGTGTGTCATGTTGTTCACACATTTTCTCACTGACTACTGCATCTCCTTCTCTTGGTTTTCGATTCTTATCTTCCACACCCTCAGTGATGTGTGTTCCTCCTGCCTGAGGAGAAGCAGTCTGAAGATCATAGAGCTTCCTGAGGCTTGGTTTTAGAACAAATATTTGTGTCGGCTGATTGGAATTTTCATGGTCCTTCGAACTTCCATGGTGAGGACTTCCTGGAAGAATTTTCTCGGGATCTCCATGGAAGGCACCTGTATTCATTTGTTTTCCATTTTCTGCCATCATTGAAGGTCGAAGAATGGTGATTCGCTTTCTGTCTGTAGGAGGGGAAACTGACTGCTGATAGAACATTGAGTTTGGTTCTTGCAGACACTTGAGAAATAGCTCTTTATGGGAGCTCAAGACTTCTAATGCATCTTGGAATTGCTTTGATTGACAAAGCTTTTTGTCTATTGACATTCTTTTTGCTTCGATGAACTTTTCACGAACAAGGGCCATGCTTTTGCTGTTTATAGTCTCCTCATATCTTCCCATCTGTGGTGATTTACAGAATTGCTGCCATGCTTCATATAAGAGGTGTTGCTTGTTTGGATCTTCATATCCATTCTGTTTCTGATAATTCAGAGGATTGTCGAAAAGATTGTTGGGATAATCTCTAGAATAGCTTCTTTGTATAGCTGTACTAGATTCCTTCCTTGGACTGGAATCAAGTCCCATTAATTTCGCGACTAGATTAGGCGAATCGTGTCCAAAGTTCACTTCTTTCGACATCTTTTGGGCAGAAAGCAATTTTATGTCCGAACCATTTGATTTTCTGTTTGAAGAACTGTTTTTCATGTCGGAAACAATCTGCAAATCTCACAGGAACAAAATGTATGAGGATAATCTTCAAGTTCTAGCTCTAACTTAACAGATACTAAAGGTTTTGAGATGGTACCACTTCTGTTGGATCATTAGATGCACTGGATGTGGCTGATCTGCTCCTAGAGAGAGGAAATCCTATGAATCAATGGGAAATAAAAACACTCAAACCTAACAAATATGAATTGAAAAGACAAAAAAGGAAAGAACAAAATCCAGTAAAGTTAAAGAACCTAACACACACCAAACATGCTCAAATCATGTGCAATCATTCAAAAACCATCATATTATCAATATTAAAGCCTTCCAAAGTGAGAAAAAAAAATTAAAATTAAAGCTATGGAACCTACTCAAGCATATTCCTGATAAGCTTAATTGTAAGAACAAATTGTAACGACGAAATTCCTAAAAGATGGATCAATAAAGGTATAAGCTACAGATACGATACAAACCATCACGATGTGGTTTATCCATAGCATCCAATTTTCCAACAGTGCTCATTCAGCTAGATGCGATTCGGCATTTCTCCTAAACATCTGGTATGTGTTTTCTCAAAATTGGAATTTTCCCCACTCTGATGAATATCAAACATTGCAACCTGCTAAAGATGATTCAACTGCATCAACTCAAAATTGGCACCGACACATATGAAAGGAAAGCCAAAAAGAACAGAAAAGAGACTATCTCAATCCAAGTTAAAAAGTTACCCAAATACTTAATTTGAGTTGGAAACAGATGATTAAAGCTTAATTTTGCTAAGAATCAAACACTCCATACACAGATCAACCAGTAACACAAATCAAACACATAAAGGAGATTCAAAAAATTTCAAATAAAGATAAATGAGTGCAACAAAGATGTAAATTATCGATCGAAGGAACAGGGGCATAAATGAGGTACCCACAATACAAATGGAGAGGAGCCAGAGTGGGGAGTGAAAGACCATAGACAGTTGCTTTAAAGAGCCAATTAACTACAGAACAAATTGCCTAGATTAATGTGAAAACAGGTCAAGATTGCAGAAAGAATTACAAAGACAACACTTCCCTGCAAACAATACCCTATTACAGTATATTCCCATGAAATCTCACAATCAAACATGTTCCCACTTTTTTGCAAATCCCAAATTAACTCCAAGTTCCTCATACACACAGACACATACATATACATACATATATATATACATATATATATATACATATATCAAATCTGTTAATGATCACAAACTTGAACACAGAGAAGTACACATAATCCACACCTCCCAGTTAATCCCCTCTACAACACATTTCGAAGATTGATTCCATCAATTTGAATAACTCTGAAAAAGCTTAAGTCCAATTTTGCCAGCAAACATAAACAATAACCCTAAAAACATCCCACAGAAGTGTCTACACCTTACGGAAAAGAAAAGGTAACTTTATTCAAATATCATTACAAAGAAAAGCTGTCATTCTAGCAGACCAAAAGATGAGAATAAAACGATATAAACAAGGTCCAATAAATTCATTCTACCTTCCAAAAGCGAGATCGGAGGATGGTACAAAGAAAGGTCGCACCAAAAAGCACTCTACACTCCGCAGACACACCGAAAACCGCAACGAAACGTACGCTTCCTTCCTCTTCAATATTCAAACAATTTTAGCAGCAAAATGTCCACAAACTCTTCGATTATTCACGAACTCCAAAACACGTATTTTTCTAAAACTAAAAATAGCTCAGTCGAAACGAAGAAGCATGCATTACAACAGAGTATCAATTCGCCGGAATCCAAATTTCCAGCCACGATGTAACCGGAACTCCTCTCATTGTTTTTGCCTCGCCGTGATCTCCTCCTCCTCCTCCGCCGCCGCCGGCGATTACCTCTCCGTCGGACTCAAGTCGCCGGAGTTTATTCCGATTTGTTAATAACTTTCAACTTTCTCTGGAACTGAGTCAAAACATTATGTGTATGGTAAAAATATTACCCCACTAATAAGGAAATTTTTTCATTTACATAAATTAAACATACACACTATTTTCTACACGTGTATTTTAAATTTTACTGTACAAAGTATCTATATATTTTTTTTTTTTAGTAATTATAATATTTATCTAAATCACAAATACTTTTATAATTTACAATATATTATACAAATGTCATTATTTATATATCATACTGATAAAATTATTTTAATTATTTCTATTTTATTTTTACTATATTTTAATATATTACTAATATTTTTAAAATTATTTTAAAAAATAAATATTTATTTATGGAACAGAGGGAAGATATATATTTTCTTTTCCAATTTAGATCAATAACCAAAAGTTATAATTCAAAGCACTTTAACCTCAACATATATCTAACAAATTTTATTTATTTATTTATTTATTTATTTATATTTTCATATAGTAGTATTATTTTTAAAAATTACTCCTATCATATTAAATATTTTGACACTCGAAGATATAAATAATTGATTTATCTAAAAAATTGAATTATTAAAAATACGTAATTATTTATTTATCTAATGAAAATTAACTAACAATATGAATATTCATTTATATTATTTTAAAAATATTTCAAATTTCAAGAATGTGTTTGATTTAAAATAATTTATTTTTATTAAAAATTATATGAATTTAATACTATTACTTTTATTTTGGAACTAAAATAAAATCATTGTAACAAAAAAAAATCAAATAAAAAGAAAATGCTCTCTCCCTTACACTTTTTATGTTCATATTAAGATTAAATTACTTTAATTAAAATTTAAAAAAAATATATAAAATTTAAAAAAGTAATTGAAATTTAAAAAGATAATAAAATATATAATTATTTTTTAAAAAATAACAAATAAAATAGATCCGATGAAAATAGAAATAATAAATAAATAAGATACTCTCTCCGTCTCACATACCGTGTCTGCTACAGTCTGCTATACTATAGACACGATATTTTAGGAGGGGTGTAATGAGTAGATAATTAATAATGTATTAGTAAAAATAATTATCCGATAATATAAATAATTATAAATTAAGATAACTAATTAGTTTAATTAAAAATTTTTTAAAAAATAAAATTAAAAAGTTTAAAATGAGATTAAAGTGTGTAATTATTTTCCAAAAAATGACATAACATGTGGAACGGATAGAAACGGCAACGTGGACATGGTATGTGAGACGGAGAGAGGATTATTCTTATTGGAGTGTTAGTAGTTTTCACATGATTAGCCGTACAATGATAGATTGATTTTTTTGCTTGAAGTTTCATACTCGATCTGAACCGTCGATGGAGCGGCATCAACGGTGGAGATTGACTTCACCTAATTTGGAGTTTGAAATGACATAAACAGCCCATCGTCCGATAATTATGAAAATGACGTGAGTGTGCACATATCCCGACCGTTGGATGGGGCACGAATTAATTTGAGCCTTGCGATGGCCTGCCAGCAAAGAATAAAGGGAAGGGCATTTATGGAAATTCAAGATTGGGTTCGTCCATAGTCAATGGTGGAATGGACTGCAGTTGAAAAGGTCGTCACACATAAATTTAAATGGGAAGGAACTATTGTCGTTGAGCATTTATTTCACAAATAGTATTACCATAAAATTAAATGAAAATTCAGGGTGTTATGTTTTGAGACACTTTTCATACATTGTTCTCTTTAAATTTTTTTATTTAAATACTTCCTTCCTCCTACGTAGCGTGTCTGCTACAATGTAAACACGGTATTTTACGAAGAATGTAATTAGTAGATAATTAAGAATATATTAGTGAAAATAATTATTATATAATATAAATAATTATAAATTAAGATTAAAAATAATTAATTAGTTTAATTAAAATTTTAAAAAATAAAATTTAAAAGTTTAAAATAAGATTAAAGTGTATAATCATTTTCCAAAAAATAAAAGTGACACGGTATTTTGGACGGACAGAAACGACAACGTGGACATGATACGTGGGACGAAGGGAGTAATATTTTTGGTATTTAAGGTAAAATATTTAATTAGTTAATAATATTAAATTATAATGTTATTTTATTATATATTTATATTGAATAATATATTATCGGTAATTCTAATATATAAGATTAAAATAAATTTAAAATATGTATTTAAATATTTTAAATATTATATCTTAATAAAATATATTCAATATGAATACCGAGAATAAAATTTTGAATAATACAAATAAATAAAAAAAGTATTTATTAATTTATAGTTAAGATAAAATTAATTTTACAACAAAATAAAAGTTTTAAATGTAGATAAATTTATTTATTTATTTATTTTTATTGAGATGAGATGAGATATAAAAATAAAAAGATTTTGAGTTGATTCTATGTAATGTATTATGTTATATGTGGTTGAGTTAATTAAATTGATTTATAGTATTTGTTAAATATATATAAATTTAGTAAATTTTACTAAAAATATAAACGTGTCAATTGAAATGAGACTAAAAAAACAATTGAAAAGAGAGGGAGGGAGTATAATAGTTTAGACGAAGACAGTAAGGGTGTGTTTGTTTAGGTGTTTGGATTTTGAGTTGGGATTTGAATAGTAAAAATTTTGAATTTGAATAGTTGTATGATGTGATGTAAATAAGTGTTGATGTGATGTTTTGAATGTAAAATTAATTTTTAGTATGATATAAAAAATAAAAATAGGTGTTTGATTTGATTTTTTTGGGGAAAAAAAAAAGGTTGAATAGTGGATTTAAAATCCAATTCCCAAAACAAACACACCCTAAATATATATAGTGTTGTTTGGGGGTTTGAATTTTGAATTGATATTTGAAAAGTAAAAATTTTGAATTTAAATAGTTGTATGATGTGATATAAATAGGTGTTGACGTGATGTTTTGAATGTAAAATTGATTTTTAGTATAATATAAAAAATAAAAAATAGATATCTAATTTGACATTTTTAAAGAAAAAATGAGATGAATATTATATTTAAAATAAATCTCCAAAACAAACACACCCATAGTTTAAAGAAAGCAAAGAAATGTGATGTAATATTTGGATATTAAATTATGAATTATAAATAAACGTTTATATACACGATTAAGTTTTAATTACTTAATTTAGTTGTTTCATTTCATATTTTTCAGCAAAAAATAAAAAAGAAAATGAATAATAATACAAAATATCCAGAATCCCTAGACTAAAAATAATAGGAAAATTTCACGTCTTAATATAATCAAAATGTATCAATTTTGATCTCAATATGTAAAATTCTTCAATTTTAGTTTTATTACAAACAATTTCAATTAATTTTGTCTCACTGTAAAGAAACTAACTGAAATTGATGACGTTGAATTAACGCGAGATTGACGTGGCAACTGACCTGGAAACATCACGGTCATATTTAATTCTTCATGTTTTGAATTTCATATTTTTCTATTTTGATTTAAAATTTCATATTTTTGGTTTTTTTTTTGTTTATAAATATTTTGAATAGTTAGATATAGTTAAATGAGAAAATATAAATCTCAATATAATTTTAACGTATAAATTTTAGTTATAATATAAAAAAATTGGGTATGTTTATTTAAAAAAAAAAATGCTTAAAATTTTACTATTCACCAATATTCTCTCTTACAAAAATTAAATTAAATTATTTTTTTATATTATATTAAAAATTGATTTTACATTCAAAATATCATGGACGTGGAGTTGACAATATAGCCGTAAACAACACAATTGTGTACAATTATACACATCTATATTAAAATTGTATTAGAATGTAAAATTTATTTTTAATATAATATAATAAATAAAAAAATAAGTGTTTAATTGAAATATTTGTGAGAGTTTTTTTTTTTTTTTTAATAATAAAATTTTAGGCAAATCTTATAAAAACATGCCTGATTAATTTTTTTATATTGAAACCAAAATTAATACATGTTAATTATATTAAAATTTTTAGAATTTTTTCTATTTTAACTATATTAATTATTTTAAATTCACAATATTTTTTTAGAAAAAAAAAATGACAAAAACATAATCGTGTGGCAACATGATCGGGTTGTTTGTGGATCGGCTGTTACATCAACCCTGTTAAGTCCACATCAGCAATTTTCGTGATGAAGCCAAAATTGATTAAAATTATTTATAATTAAATTAAAATTGATAAAAAAAATTTTATATTATGATCAAAATTAATTTTTCCTATAATTCAATTTTAAATAGTACTCCATTTAACATTAGAAAAATAACAAAATATAAAATAGTAAAAGAAATAAACAAACCACAGCTTCTAATATACTCCCTCTCCCTCCAAAACAATAGTTCTATTTTGTAATAATTTTATTTTTATTTTCAGTAACTAACTCTCCACTTTTTTATAAAATAATTATTTTTTTTCACAACAATTACATTAAGTAAAGATATTTTAGCCAAACACTTTTACTGTCAATATAATACTACTCCCTCTATCATGCAAATGTGTGCAAATTTGACCGGACACGAGTTTTAATAAAAGTTAATAATAATAGTTATTTTTTCTTTTATAGTAAAAAAAAATTACAAAAATATAATAATTTTTTACTTAAAAATGAAACGAAAATATTTTTCAATAACAACTCAAAAAAGAAAGTGACGGAGGGAGTATTATTTTTTAATTTTCATGCTCATTCCAAATGTCCGAGTAACGATGTTAGAGTGTTATTTGAGACAAAACAATATTATGCTTTTAAAAAACAAATTAATATCACTAGTCGAGTAATGTGTGATAAACTCGTTATCTTAAAGTCCAGAGGTTCTAACCTCCCATGCGACTAGCACATAAGATATAATGTTATTAACATTGTACTGAATTAATGGCAACTTATATACCTCATATCATATTAATTAAACAGTCACGTCGGATTAATCATAGAATACAAATTTAACAAACATTTATAAAAAGCATAAAGAGATCAAACTAAAACTGTAGAGATTTTTAATTGAATCCCAACAAAATTGTTAGAGCAATGGAGTAGAAAAAACATAAAAATAAAAAGTAAGCCAGATAGATAGATAGATAGGATGACATTATCCAAGAATTTGGATATGGTGTACACGTGGCAGCAACCCAATGGGCAGACCAACACCCACAACTTTCCCACACTCCACCCAAATTTGTTATCTTCTTTTTTCTTCTTCCCCATGTAATAAACTAACAATACCAAAATCTGCCTAACCACTGCAAAATTCCATCAATTATTTGAAACAAATGGCAACAAACAGCCTGGCAACCGCCGCCTGCACATTCGCGGTGGCGCCCGCCGCCGCCGCCGCCGCCCCGACCCCCAAGCCGGCCATGCTATTCTTCTCCACCAAAGGGAAGAGGAATTTCAGGCAGCTGGTCGTCCGGGCCGGCGAGGATGAACCCGAGGCACCCGCGGCCGAGTCGGCGGCGCCGGCAGCTGCTGCTGCCGCCGCCACCGCCGAGCCTGCAGCACCCAAGCCGCCGCCGGTCGGCCCTCCCAGAGGGAGCAAGGTAAGCAATCAAGAAACTCAAAACACTATTCATATATATACGATCAATTTACAGCAAATAAAATCAGCATGTGCTATTACAGCAAATAAAATCAGCATGTGCTATTACAATTAATTAATTAGCAAGACATTACATCAAATATTCAATTTTTTATCAAATCCAAATCAATAATAAGGATACCTACGGCGCTACCTATTCAAACATAATAAATACTTTTATAATTTATAATATATTACATAAATTTTACTATTTTTATATTTTTTACTACAAATAAATATTTAAAAAAAAAATGTATGTTACAAAAAGCAAATGATGCTCTTGTTCATTCTCAAAACATGGCATCAAAATACCATCTAAACTAAAATTCAAATCGAACACCTAATTTCAAATCAAAGCCACAAACAAATTTTTCAAAATTCTAAAAATATCTGTATATGCATTGACTAGCAAGAATAATCATTGATATACTCAGAGATAGATAGATACACATCAGATTAGCTTAAAGACTGATAATGTTGAGACCTTCTCAGGTAAGAATTCTGAGAAGGGAATCCTACTGGTACAAGGGTGTGGGCTCAGTTGTGACTGTTGACCAGGTGAGTCTCATTCTCTCTCTCTCTCTCTCTCTCTCGATATATATATATATATATCTATATCTCACAGACAATCATACATTGATGAGAATGCTGAACTATGTGCAGGACCCAAGGACAAGATACCCAGTGGTGGTGAGGTTCGACAAAGTGAACTATGCAAATGTATCAACAAACAACTATGCATTGGATGAAGTGGAGCTGGTGGCATGAGAGAGATAGAAAGTTAGAGAGAGAGAGAAACACAATGTTCACTTCTACTGCTATTATCTCTACCCATCATCATCATCGTCCATTTGTGTTTCAGTGTTTGGTGATCCCTACAGCTTCTCTTGTGTATTGTGCATTGCCCTATGAATCTCTATTTGTGCTGTGCTGTGCTTACACACATACTCCCAACACATTCACCATTTCTAATGTAACATACATACATACATACATAATCCATGCTTTTCCATGTATAATCTAATTCCTAAAACGAATCCTCCAACAATGGCCCTTAATCATTAAATTTAGTGAGGTTACTGTTGTTTTCGCATGTAAAATGCACAATAAAAATAAAAATAATACTCCCTATGACCGCAAAAATTAGCTCATTTGAAGTTGGTAGGGAGATTAAGAAAATATTTAAATATTAACATTTTGACTTTTTCAAATATAATAATGAGATAAACTTAATGAACAAACAAAAAAACAAAACTAAAAATAAATTTGATGGACGGAGCAATTACTACTATTATTTAACTGCTGTTTACTAAAAAAGCATATAGAAACCTAATCTCTGGAATTATTAAAGCGCAACATAATAATACACTTATCAAGAATAATTAATCTAACCTACCTACATGGTAAGGTTAATTTCTCCTAAGCAATTTTGTACTAAAAGCCTATGTTAGCTTTTATTTAATCAAACGTAGTAAATATTGTATTCCCTCTATCCCAGAAGAGACGTCTGGTAGTTGGCACGCAATTAAAGAATAATAGTATTTAATTGAAAGATTAAAATGTCTTTATTTTTTAAAGATTTTAGAAAGTATATTAGAGTAATAATTAGGGGTAGTTTGGAAAAGTAGGAATAATTTTGTTATAAATGAGGACACTGTTACTAAAGAAAAAAACAAGACAATTGTTTTGAGACTGACGAAAATAGAAAAACAAGACAAAATCTATTGATTATAAGATCCATTCAAATAATCATAAGAATTATAATCTCATCCTGTGAAATAAAAGCATCCAAAATATTAAAAACTTACCTTAGATACTTTTAATCTCCTTCAAAACTAGCCAAGCTTAATTGAATTTCCAAGAGATATATATTTAACAGCAACCTTGACCCTGCAGATGATATCCATCTAGTGTAGCCAAGAAACTATGAAGGAAGCTCACAATTTAGGAACGAATAAAGTGGGTTTAAAACTTCAAATTTCATATATGCCAAGAGAGAATATATAGTAGTTTCGATGCTCACAGAACTCTTCCATCCATACCATCTAGAAGGCCAGTCCACATCCCCTTTACTGGCGGAAGCTGCACGATGAACGCATTCCATGGTGGATAGCCCACACCGCTGCCTCGAACTCTACCATCCAAACGGAGCGACAAATATCTGCACATTGAAAACAACCTTAGAAATAGCTTCAAGAATCATCTCTATTGCAAAAGCTATCGTAATTTCTTTGATTTCATGATTTGGACACTCACACTGGAGATTCAGGGGAGATGTTAGCCAATTTCTTCTGGTCATCTAACCACCTGTAGTCGGGTAAGTTCAGATAATAAATGTAATAAACTCGCAACGATAAGTAGACATTGCAGGTAACTTACTTGGTCCATTCAGGAACATAGATTGGAGTAAGCTGCCAGAGTTTTTTCCTTTCTGTAACGATCTCTTTTGTCTCCTCCGTCTCTTCAAACTCAAGTCTTGGCGAGTTTCCATCGGTTGCCAATGGTACAACAAGAACCCCTCTTTCAACAAGACTCTTGGTGAAAGGTTCACTGGATTTGAACGATTCTTTGACAAAAGCTGCAGGGCCAGCCACGATCACAAGACGAGCAATTCCCCTAAAAGCACTTAGAGGAAGGACTCTCCTCTCATCTACACGAAGCTTAAGGTTCGAGAGACTTTCCTCTCTCGAAAGTCTAGCCATCTGAACATTTTTAGCATTATTTTCCCTATAATAAAGAAACGCGAAAATTGAAACTGCTCCAATGTCTATAGCCAGACCCTTGAGGATTTCAGGAACTTCAGCTCCTCTTGAAGAATTTGCCAGGGCCCCGATTAACTGAGAGAATGCTACCAATGCTCCAAGTGAAGCGCTAGCAATAAAGGCCACATAAAAGAACATTCGAACCGAGCGAAAGGGCGAAAGAACTTCACTTCGTATTCTGGCATTGGAACTGAATAGCAAATATAAGAACTTTTGCTGGTTAAACAAAACCTAAAGCCAAAGCATCATCTTATTAAAAGTAATTTTGGTATTCAAAATCTTCGTAATGATCTCCAACATCGATGCATACGGTGATATTTTTGAAATATATAGTGTAATGTTAAACAAACCAATGATTTGTTCGCTTGTATTGTCAACAATTTTCACACTATGCAATCTACTGCGCAAAAAATCGTCATTTTTCAACACATAAATCTAATAGAAAACATCACATCTAACCATTACTTTCCACTCTAAAAAAATCTGAATCCAAAACACAGATAAACACAACCTCAAATCATTTACTGAAAGTGTCTTCAAGGAACAAGGCTAATGACCAACAGCACTGTAATATGCATCATATTCAGAGCAAAATATTTTCAGCCAAATGTTATCACTTATGGTACTACATCTTGTTTGCTATATATATAGGTGACGAATGAGGTTCCAATATACCATTAATGTTGGAACTTGTCACTGAAAGTATGATATGATACAAACTCCCATTTTAACAGCTAAAAACTTGAATCCATACAAGCTATCCATCCAATACAACAAAATTCGAAAATGCAGCAAACCATTCCAGTATGCCGTTTAAACTAAGTCACCAGATCATTCCCTGGCGTTGTTCTACTAAAACTAAATGCTATCTTCCTTAATCCTTCATATTCGTACGCTTTACTCGCACGGAGGTCAGACTAGAGACCAAATACTCGCCAAATTAACTCAAAGGAAATAAATATAAACCCTAATACGGTACTAATCTCAACAAATTATGTTGGAAGGGTTGCCGCCTCCGAAGATTATGCCAAAAACTACATATATGTTCAGTATGAGAATTATAAAGCATAGAAGACCTGATATCCGAAGAGGACGGTTCATTGGAGGCGGAGCAAGTGATGGCGGAGAATTCTCGACTTCTCCGGCGTCGTGTGGAGCTGAAAGCGCTGACGGCGAAGCTTAATCTGCGTCGGGAAAATCCGAGGACTTTGATGGCGGGGTCGCACCGGGGATAGTCTATTATAAGTGTGGAGAATCGCGCCACCGCGGCCATGCTAGCAGCGCCGAAGTCGGCGAGCAACTGCAGGAGGAGGAGGAGGAGGGTGGTGATGGCGGTGGTGGTGGTGGTTACAATTGGCCAAACGTCAGCACATGTTTTTGAGGCTGTTATTTGCGGGTTTGTGGATTCGGGTTGTCGGATCTTCGTTAATATTGGGGATGTTCGTTTATTATTAAGCGGGTAATCGTTATTAACGGTATTTTAATATTAAATTACAATAATTTTAATTTAATTTCAATTTATAGATATTTTATGATTTTCTTTATGTAAATAATATTTCTTTCTAATCGGAAAATCCTAAAATATTTTTCGACACAATTTAGAACATGAGTGTGTATTTTCTTTTTAATAAATAAATATTTTTATCCATATTCAAAACTCTTCACTTTTATTTATATTTTTTTATATACATTTAATTGTATTACCACTCAAAACTCTCAATATATATTTTTATTTATTTATACTATATAAAATTTTATTATGTAAGAAATTCATATATATTTTATTAAATATAATGCTAAAATTATATAAAATATCAACAATATTACTTGTATAAAAATAATTTATTAATCTAAATTACCTAAATAAGAGTGTATAAAAACAACTTATTAATCTAAATTACCTAAATAAGAGTGTGTCAGGTTATCATATACTGGACGGAGGGGGAAATTCATAGTAAAAAATGAAAAAATTCATAGTAACATGTAAAAACAAGTTATTTAACCAGAGAAACATAATACAATGTGCATCACCATGAGATAGAGAATATCCTGTTTCAAACCTCAAATAGGACCGTCCCGTCGCCGTCGTATCTCCACCGCGCTATCATTTCTTAGCCCCGGAATTGGACAGCAAAGGCTCAAGCTCCCCCTTCTGGTATAGCTTGACAGTGTCTGCGCCAAGGCCAATTACATGTTAAATGATTTTGCCAAATGGCTTTGTTTGATATTCAATCAGTGTATAAAATCGTATAAGAGAAAAGTCGTGCAAAAAAACAGAGCAAAATTTCTTTGTAAGAGACGATAACAAGAGTTTGTAGTGTTTTTGGATGAAATAATAAATCTCATTCCGAGGATTCTAACGGTTCTTAAAAAAAATACCTGAACAGCCACCGATATGTTTACCCCCTGAGATTAAAAAGATGTAACTTGTAAGCCATATGAGTTGTCAATGCAGTTTGTGAGATGACGAAAATCTAATTAGTGAAACTGCAAGTATGATTCTGACTCACAAATCCGATAAAAGGGGAAATGCGAATGTGAGAAAGTCATAAAAATTGACATGATTAGTCTCGTATCAAACTAGTCCTATGAGTGGAAGATTTTTGCAATTTTAGTCCTCCGGCACCGGAGATACCTGCTTGGCTCCCGTCAGCGACACCTGACGGACACGATATTTTTATTGTTTTTTATTTTTAAAATTATGTATTTTGCTTTTTCTTTATTTTTTTAATTAGACCAAATACAAAATATACAAAATTTAAAAAACGCAGGGGCCAACGCTGGCATATGCGGCGGAGGAGGACTAAAATTATGAAAAATTTTCACTTACGGAATTAATTTGCGACAAGCTCTAATTACAAAGGGATTAGACTAAAAAAAACAGTTTACCCTTGAATTTATTTAAGGTAACAGGTGTGTGTACAACCACAAGGAGTCATGGAGAACGAAAAAATTGCAAAAAATACGATAAAAGGTGATTATGAATTGTTACCTATAAATACATTGGGCACCGTATGCTGGCCGGTGAGCGCCTCCAAAGTTTTCTGTAATTGAGATCCTTGAGAACCTGAAAAATGAGAGAAATTCCGAGATAGAACCTATTTTGATTGTATTTGTGTATCATCTTAGCTTTATCGATCAAAATTGAGTTACAAATTCATTTGTAAGTTAAATTGAGAGAATACACCATAGGTTATTCACTAAACTGATATGAAATGTTTAAAAAAAACCAAAATTCGACACTTCTGTCTGCTAGTGTCTGCTTACATCCGTAAAGGCTTAAAGAAAGAAAGAACACGAGAACAATTTCTGCTTATGTCCTCCACAAAGAGAATCAACATAAAGAATTAAACAATTTCTAATTGAATAGAACACTTCCATTGCAGAACAAAAAAATATACTTGAACTCTCTTGATTGTACCAATTCTTGAAAGTCATCGCAACATTGATCCATTTACCACAAGTAAACATATAATGTAACATCCTAGATTAACTGTACTGATCAACGTGAGTCTTTCAGCTCAAATCAATTTTAGAGTGTTTTTCACTCAAACCAAATTTAGAAAATTTTCATGGGGTGATCTATGTCGAAATTAACTCGGAGCAGAGAGGCTTACCTTTAGAGTTATTAACCATGAAATCTCGATAAAGAAGGTTACCTTATTAACAAATGTAGCGTAACTAATCCCCGCAAACCCTTTCCAAATATGGACTATCACACTCTACCCAACTAACGATCGAAACTTTCTTGTTTCACCTCAACAATATTTGCCCATTAAGAAGCCTATTAGTTCATCCAACTATAGTGTGCAGAAGATGATGATGTGTTACATATAACATTTGTCAAAATGAGAAGATTCACAGAACAAACTCAAGAGAAAATACTGGTTTATCGATCCCTACCAGTAATCTACAAGAAAATCGAACTTTGTTTTACCAAATGATGTGTTACCAGTGGAAAAGATCAAACAAAGACAAATATCTAGATAGAATTCCAATACAATAAAATTCAACCACTCCATTACAAGTGTTTCCCTAAATTCAAATACTACATTAAATTGCTCAAGGTTCGTCATCTTCTCAGCCGAATTTAATCAAACAAGTACAAGAAAAACGCTGCAACAATCCAGGACCTTTACAGAATAATCAGAGGGTTTGAACTTTTAACATTACCTAATAGGTCCAATTCGACAACATGAGGCTCAACGCCGAGCTTCTTGAACAAATATTTCACCTCCGAGGAGTACCTAACGACACACGGTAAGATTAAATCGAAATGGAATTCTCTAACAGAGGATTATTTCTTGACGGAGCACTTACGAGCACCAAGTTTTGGAGTAAACAACGACTGGATTCTCACTTAACGTCTTCTTCACAGACTCCTCCAATCCAGACCCGATCGAATCGGAACACATTGCCCTAATCTTAACAACCGCCGCGGTTCTTCTGACGGTACAATTAGTCGGTGCATAATTGCAGCGGCGGCTTCGATAAACGGGGATGGCAGTCGTGCGGGAAAGAGACGCACAAGGAGAAACGGATTCGATTCCCCTAATTGTCAGTCGAGACGCGGCTGCCATTGACGCCATTGAAGAAGAACACCACAAGCAGCAGTAACTTATTTCCAGCCTTCTCTAAAATAAACTGGTGAAAAACGCCAACTAATTATTTTTCTACTTTTTTTTAATGTATTTTTTATACCCTTATTTATTTCAAGCCCATGGGCCGAATTCTTACAAATTGGGCCAAAAGGTCAATTTAATTGTGACCCAAATAATTTGAACTATCTTTTAATGTTTTATATTTTCCTTTGTAAAGTGTTTCTTTTGGCTGACTTTTGAAAATTTTGATTTCGTAAATAAAAATATATATATTTTTAAAAAATACAAAGTTCAAATAATAAAATTTAAAAAAGCTTACCAAAAGAAACCACTGTTAACGATATATTTATTTTTAATTTATTTTTAGTACACGGATTTATATTATGTGTTGAAATAAATCATAACATACGTTATATAAAATTATGTGATGTATTAATATCTGTAAAAAAATAATTTTCTATTGGTAAATAATAAAATACTCCCTCCATCCCGTGAGGGATGAAACAATTTTATTAGTGACACGATTTTTTAAGTAGTGTAAATTAGTAAATTATTAATAATAAGTTATTATATTAGTTTATCATTTTTTATATGAATAATATTATTTTGTAGATAATAAAATTTTATATAATATTTATTTATTATACCATAAATTAGTTTTATAAAAAATGAGGAGTTTTAAATATAGATAAAAAATTATGTTAATTGAGGAGATATATAGAAATAAAAGGGTTTTGAGTGGATATGTTAGAAGTTTAATTAAATTGATTTATATTTGTTAAGTATATTTAAAATTTATAAAGTTACCACAAAAATGGAAATGAGTCATCTTCTGTACGAAGAAAAAAAAAAAAAAAAAAAAAAAAAAAAAAACCATCTGGGGCGAGTGAGTATTTTATATTATCAACATAATTTTTTATATTTCATATAAAAAAATAATCAAAACACTAAACAAACAAATTCATATTTAAATAAATATTTTTAAAATCATATTAAATATTAAAATAAAATATTATATCAAATACTCAATTTCTTTATTTATTTCAATTTAAAAATAAGAATTGTCAGTAAACTTATATGTAAATGGAACCTCTCTCTCTCTCTACATGTGAGTGTTTGGTGTGGACGACATTTGATGATATGATTAGTGTTAAGTCAATTGATCCATGTTCTCCACTAAAACTTCTAAATAAATATTGTCTTAAAGTTTTCATATAATAATATATATTATATCAAATATATATCTTTAATAGAATATTATTTTTTTTCTCCTCAAAATTTATTATATTATTAATTTTAATAAAATCAAATATAACTATTACTCCCTATGTCCCATAAATATAGTCTTAATTAAGTTTGACACGAAATTTAAAAAATATTGATATTATATTGCTAGTGGGTAAAAAGTATGGATAAAATACTTTTTTGTCCTTGTTGTGAGTGTATTAGATTAAAAAAATAGTGACAATTATGTAATAAAAATGAAATATATTTTAAACTATTCTGTTAATTTTCTTTTTACATTTTTTAATAAGATATTTTTTCTTTTTCTTAAATTTCTGTGCTGGCTCCCATGAGATTAATTTTTTTGGATGGAATGAGTCCATTAAATGTTTACTTTTTTATAATTTTTTTTTTTTTTTTTTACAATTGTAAAATTTTTATCTAAGGGATCTTAATTTTCAAATGATGCAACTTTAGTAATATATTTGAAATATTATACTCCATCCATTCGTATTATTTTTCCACGTGATTTGTCCCTTTTTTTAAAAAAATAATATAATTATACACTTTAATTGTATTTTAAAATTCATGATTTATAATTATTTTATTTTAGTTAAATTTTTTAGTCATCTTAGTTTTAATCAATAATTATTTTTATTAGATTGTAATTATTTTTATTAGTATATTTATTAATTACTTATTAATTACACAATAGCTAAAACTCCGTACATAAGCTAAATGGGACAAATTAGCTAGAACAGAGAGAGTATTAAATATTCTTTTACTATATGTTATTTAAAATTAAAAACACCAAAACCAAAACATTACGATCAACGTTAACCAATTAAACACACCAAAGTAGAATGAATAATAATAATAATTATTATTATTATTAAAGAATGCATGAATCCGAATTGTGATCTGATCAGATCTGTCTGCCAACAATAATTAATATTATATATATATATATATATATGTATAAATAATGCAGCAAATGATATATTCATGGGAGATCAAAAATCGACAATACCAAATTTATTTCATTAATACATATTCCCTCAGTCTCAATATAATAGTCTTGTTTATCATTTTTGTCTGTACAAAAACAATAGTTTCATTTCCATAAATAATCATATCACCGTAAAATTATCCATATTTTTTTATTTTTATTACACAATTGTCACTGTTTTTTACACTAATACACTCACAAGGGCAAAAAATCTTTTATCTCGTATCCAATTTAATTAAGATTGTAGTTCTGAAACGGAGGGAGTATTATATTATATATATATATATATATGTATATTGTTACTTATTGTAGATTGTGTTGTTGGGTTCTACCAGACAAGCATACCAGGTAGAGTAGATCTGCATATATACCAATCTTAATTAATTTCTATCAATTATTTATTTATTAATTTAATAAAATATAATACTAGACTTAATTAAATAAGTGTACAATACAATAATTTCAGGGGCTGTCTCAAGAGAACAATATAAATGCATATGGGCATATATATATAAAGTCTAAATCTACAATAGGATTAAGGTTACAAAAATAAAAATAAAAATAAAATTTTTAAATGATAAAAAATATTCCTTCTGTTTCAAATCAAATTGATTATTTGGAGTTTTTTTATTAGATTAAAAAATAATATGTTTTATTAGTATAAGAGTTTTAGACAATTTTGATATTTAACTTTACTCATAAGGTAAGTGTAGCAATATGCTTGTAATATAAATAAAAATTAAAATTATTTTAGTATCAGTGTATATGATCAATTATTTTAAAATAGAAATGGGCTCTCGGCACGAATTTGTTTTTGGATATCCTCCAAAAGCCTTATACTAGTGGAGTTCATTTGGAATTAATAAGGTATAAAATTATCTTCACAACTTCCAATGTGACCCCAACAATAAAAATTATAAAATATTACTTTGAATTAGAACGATTTTTTTTTTATTTTACTAAAAATGAAATAAAAATAATTTTTTATGACAACAAAAATTATCAAAGAAACCGGACTCCAAGAAACAGCATCAGTGTAAATTACAAACGAATATTATGGATTCTTAATTCCATCTCATAATCTTACAATCCAAAAAAATAAAAATAAAAATCATGAGTGTACAAATGAAATTGGCCTAACCTTCCAAAAAAACTCAGGCATTCCGGAGAGGGCCGTTGTCCTAAAACGCTATCTCATTCCGCTCTATAATATATTGTCTTTTTTCTTGCACTCTAATTGCAAATGTATCTATATATATATATATATATTTATCTATCTATCTATCTATATACTCAATCTTCAATTAATTAATTATCCTGTTTTTTTAAAAAAAAGTTAATTATCGATCGATTTGTCAGAATGTCGAAATGCAGCGACGATGCGTCGGCACTTTCTGCTTCTTCTGCTTCAGCTCATCTTTCCACACTCTCGCAATGTCTCCGGCGATTTTCGCGGCATCGGCGGCGGCGCCGGAAAGCCCTCTCCGCGTGAAACCCGCCGCGTACAGTCCGGCGCCGCCTTTCCACGCGTTGGGGAACGCCGTTTTCGGGAATCCGTTCTCGCCGAAGAACCCGCCGTCGTCTTGCAGCCAGTACGGCACGTTGCTCCGGTAGCCGGTGGCGAGAACCACCGCGTCGATCGGAATATTCTCGCCGGACTTCAACACGGCCGTGTTGCGTGTCAGTTTTGTTATCCCTGGAACTACCTGGATTTCGCCGGACCGGATTTTGGCCAACGCTCCGATGTCAAGAACCGGCGTCTTCCCGTGACTGTTCTTCAGCTGTAATGGCCCGGCGGTGGGGCGCTTCAGGCCGTACTTTGCGGTGTTTCCGATCGTCAGCCATGCGAGGAGGAGGAGGAGCTTGTCGACCAGCCACAACGGCAGCCATTGTAGCAGCAGCATTGCTAGCTCGAAGGTCGATTTTCCGGCGACCTCTCTGGGCAAGACGTGGACCTGAAATGCAGAAATGGCGATGGAGATGAGATTGATTAAATCAATTTGATAAATTAGGGTTTTGTTTTTGGTTAAATTGGGGATTTTTTTTTTGGGGTGGAGAACTTACTGTGCTTCGAACAACCATCGCCGGATTTCCGCCATGGTTGCAGAGATCGAGGGAAACTTCCATGCCGGAGTTGCCGCAGCCGACGACGAGGACCTTCTTCCCCCGGAATTTCTCGCCGGACTTGTAATCACAGGCGTGGATTACTTCGCCGGAGAATTCCCCCAGCCCGGGGATCTCCGGAAAAACGCGCTCGGCATTCTCGCCGGTGGCGACCACCAGCCATTGGCAGATGTACTCGACCTCCATATTTTCCGGCGACGCCGTGCGGACTCTCCACAGGCGGCAGACCTCGTCGTACTTGGCCGATTCGACGCGCTCGTTGAATTTCGGAGCAATTCCGAACTCGGCGGCGTAGCCTTCCAAGTATTCGACGAATTGCCGCTTCGAAGGGTACGCCGGAAAGTGATCGGGAAACGGCCGGTACGGCAGCTGGCAGAACTGTTTTGGGAGGTGAAGTTTCAGCCGGTCGTAGGTGCGGTGCTGCCACAGGGAGGCAATGCAGTCGGATCGCTCGAGGACGACGAAGGGAACGCCTTGGAGCTTGAGGCCGGCGGCGACGGCGAGCCCCGACGGGCCGGCGCCGACGATGACGGGGCCGTTCACCCAGACGCAGCGCCGCGAGAACGTCGTGTCTCCGGCGCCGGCGGATTCTTCAAAACTGAACATTTTTTTCGAGTTTTTGAAATTTGAATCGTCGATTGGAATTGAGACTGGAGAGATTGGATTATTGGATTGAGGAATTTTGGGAATGAGGAGAATTGGGGAAGACGACGGTGGGTTTAAATAGAGCGTCGCCATTGAAGGAGGAGCATGTGGAAGAAAGGTGTGGGTGGGTCCCACTCCAAATCATATGCTAATTAGGATATTATTATTATTATTATTATTATTATTATTTGATAATAGAATATTGAAATTGAAATTGAAAACCCTAAATTGAGAAAAAATTGGGGATTTGGTGAGAACGAAACAAAGGGAATGAGGAATCGGGATGACGTTGACGGATGATTTAGGGGGTCCCACAGAGCGTGCTGACGTGGCGGTGGCCACGTGGAGGAATTGAGAGGGAGTTTAGTCTCGTCCACTCCCCAAAGGACCCCTACATTAGGATGGTGACGTGTAACCCTGTTCTGGTCCACAACGCCCATTCCTCCGTCTGGACCCACCTTTTTTTTTTTTTTTATACGCCCTGCATCGGTACAAATATGATCTCATTTCACCACGTATGAGTTTTAATAAAAATAATTAATAATAATTATTTTTTTTATAGTAAAAAAATATAAAAGTATAATAATTTTTTATTTAAAAATAAAATAAGATGACAATTAAAAAAGAAAGTGAACATAGATTTGAACAATGGAGGTAGTATTATTTATTTAGTCATACATTTTATTCAACTGTTAATTAATAAATAGATATTTCATATTTAGGATTTGTTATTTTTATTTCTATTTGCTATTCAATTTTTACTTTTTTTATAAAAAAAAATTAATATACATTTTTATAAAATATTATTTTAAAATTATTTATATAAAAATTTAAATTGCATTTTCTTGAAAGTCTTTTACCATAGTTTTACTATTTAAAAAAAATCAAATAAATATCAAATTATATGAGCACCCACAAACGTTAATTTTGGAATGTCTCTGTAAAAATACTTTTTTGTTTAGTTTGTGTTTCAATTTAATTTTTGATTCAATTATATTTTGATATAAGAGCATGTAATAAATTATAGTAATAATTATTTTATTAAAAAAGTAGAAGAAAAATATATAAGTGGATAAACCTCATCAGCTTCAGCTGTGAGTTGGCCATTGTGACTGTATAAAAAATAAATATAACCATAAATAAATAAATAAATTCGTGTAACAGCTTTATTATTGAAAATTACTATACCACGTTACTAATTTGAACTTTAATTTAAACATAGTTAAATAAGTAGTAGTATATTTTATGAAATGTAGTTACTGTTATTAAATTAATCAAAAGGTTTTGTGAAAACCCATATGAGAATTGCAGTCACGCGTGGTGCATATAAAGTTTCTTGGGGGGAAATAAATAAATAAATAAATAATAGGGAAAAAATTATTTTTGGTTTCAATATAATCAAAATTTATCAATTTTAATTTCAATATAAAAATCTTATCAATTTTTTTATCAATTTTAGTCTCAATATAACCAAAACTCATCATTTTTTATCTCAATAAACTTATCATGTTTTGTTCCAATATAATCAAACTTTATCTTTTTAGTCTCACACTGTCAACAAACCGACAAAAAATGCTAACGTGAAAAGGAATCAAACATTATATTTATATTTGAAGAAATTGTACAATCTTGCAGCATTTTCCGTCGGTTTGTTAACGGTGGGACCAAAAAAAATAAAGTTTGATTATATTAAGACAAAAAATGATGAATTTTGGTTATATTTGGATTATAATTGATAAATTTTTTATATTTAGACAAAAAAATGATGAGTTTTGATTATACTGAGACAAAAAATAATAAATTTTGATTATATTGAGACCAAAAATAATTTTTTCCCTAAATAATAATAATAATAATTTTAAATTTGAAGTTATCTACTTGCATTCGAGGAAGCTTAGGTAGCCGAAAGTTTGTGATTAATTATGCCAATAACTTTGTTATTATTTAATTAAATTAAATAATTTAAATATGTATATATATATAATTAATGTAAGTTCGATGTATGAGTATCTAATTAGAGTTTAGATAATTAAAATTTATAATCAACAATGATGATGGGTTAACTGGAAGATATCCATATATATATATATATATACACATACTTTTATATATATAGTATTTATTTATATATCATTAAAATGTAATTTTAAAAATACTTAAACATATATTTTAATTTTTTAAAATTATATATTATATTATATTATATATCAAATATCAATTAAATAAAATTAATTCCAATCAATTTGAATACTTTAGTTTAACTTTTTCGAATATTTTAATTTATTATTTTTAAATAAAAATAGTGACACATAACCATTTATATAAAAAAATAATATTTCGCTCGTCCCACTAACCATAATCATATTTTTGTTTATATCTATCTCATATCTTATGTTATTTTTTATTTTTCTAAAAAAATTTACACATCTTAATTTATTTTAAATTTTTTAGTTTATAATATTGTCAATATTAATTAAACCAATTAATCATTTTAATTTTAATATATAATTATTTTTATTATAGAGTACAAATTGTAAAAATTTTATAGAAAAAATATTATTTTTGTTGATTTTGCATTGTTATATTTATAAAATTATATTATATCTTTTTAATAATACTTTTGAAAAATAAAGTAGAATTTAAGAACTAAAATAAATAAATAAATGTGAGTGAATATTTGAGAGAAATCATGGTCTGCTGACGTGGCATTTAATACAAACATATTCCAAGATGGTCAACTAATCATAGGGATAGCGGTGACGGAATGGAATATATCCTCGAAAATCATTGCAATAATTACTTACTACAATACTATTTATTTATTTATTTATTTGTAATGCACTAATAAATTATACATGAAGTTGGGTTCTATTTATATTTTAGTAGTACTATATATAACATGATTAATTCTAAATTTTAAATTTTATCTACAATTTTAATAGAAAAATGTATATGTTATTGCATCCAATGTTTTGTTTATTACATATATGCTTATAATTAATTATTTACAAATCAAAAGTTTAATTATATTAATATTAGTATTACACTAATTAATTAGTGCTGCTTTCAAGTATGATCTCATCATTACATGTGATTAATAATAATAATAATATTAATAATAATTGCTTCTTTTGAATTCATAAAATTCAATTACTCCCTCCGTCCAGCCAAAACCAAAAGTATACAATTATTTTTAGCGCGGAGATTAAGGAATAATAGTATTTTAATTATAGTTGGTAGGTAAAAGTAGTAAAATGACATTTTTGTCTTTATTTTCTTGGTATAAAAGTAATAATGTGATGTAAAGTAGGGACATTTGTGAAAAAAATTGAGGTATTTAATAAAATGATTACTTTGTAATTGGACGTCCTAAAATAGAAATATGTATACTTTCTATCTGGACGGAAGGAGGAGTAAGTTTTTACCAAAGTTTTAAAAATGAATTTGAATTACCTTATATTGGAAATAATTTGAATTAAAAATTTATTGTATGGTATTATGAATTATTTAAAATGATTTGATAAATTCCAATAATGGAGAAATTTAAAGTCACCTTTAATATATGGTTTTATGGTTTTTAATACTCCCTCCGTCCCATAACAAAATATTCATTTTTTCATTTTAGTTTGTTCCATAACAAAGTATTCATTTGTTTTTCTAGCAGTAACTGTACTATCTACCTAACATTACAAATATCCTTACAACTTACAATATATTATACAAATGTCACTGTATTTATATCACACATACTAATAAGGTTATTTTAGTCATTTATATTGTATTCCTACTATATCATAATATAATACAAAAAATAAATAGATATTTCTTTATGGAACGGAGGGATTATATATAAATTTTAAAATTCATTAGTGATATTTGTGAGCTTAACTAACTATTTTTATATGAGATCGTAGGAATTTTATAATAAAATTGAGAAATAAATAATAAAAAAGACATAAGTTTTTATTTTCTTTAAATATATAAAAATAAATAAAATAAAATATTTGTAATAAATTAAATTTGAATATATAGATATATATGTATATATTAGTAAAGCATATTTGAAAAGTAACAGCTGTAAATTCTCGTTATCATGAAAAAAAAAAGAATAATAACTATCATTATTCCTTTAATTTTTTTATTTAGTTAAATTCCTATTATTTATTTATTTATTTATTAAGGTCAGCTTATGAGAGATTTTATTCTTGATGAAAAATAAATTTTCATGATCCCTAATTGTTGTTTACCGTCACATGGCGTAGGAACATGGATGGACTGATCAACATGCTAAATTAAATTAACATTTCATATAAATAATATTAGTGATTTATTTTTTATTTTAAAAATAAAAAACTTAAGTTAAAACATATTCCAATAATGGAGACTTATTAAATTTATGAGGTTGGCAAAATTCTTTCCTAATTATATATTCTATAACATTTAATAAATATTAGTAATTTATTTATTTGTGAAAAAAATTATTTTTGTCTCAATATCATCAAAATTCATCAATTTTGGCTAAAAGATAAAAATCTTATCAATTTTGGTCCCAATATAACCAAAACTTATCATATTTGGTCACAATATAAAATTTTTATCAATTTTAGTTCCAATATAAATAAAATTCATCATTTTTTGTTCCAATATAATCAAAGCTTTTCTTTTTTTGGTTTCATCGTCAACAAACTGATGGAAAATGCTGACGTGAAAAGAAATCAAATCTTATATTTATATATGATGAAGTTGCACAATCTTGTAAGTTCACATTAGCATTTTTTGTAGGTTTGTTGACGGTGAGACTAAAAAAAATAAGGTTTAATTATATTTGGACAAAAAATAATGAGTTTTGATTATATTAAGACTAAAATTGATAAAAAAAAATTATATTGAAACAAAAAATATGAGTTTTGTTTATATTAGAACCAAAAAATGATGAATTTTAGTTATATTGAGATCAAAATTAATAAAATTTTTATAATTAGACGAAAATTGATTATTTTTTATTATATTGAGAAAAAATAATTTTTTCCTAATTTATTTACTTTTATTCACTTTTATTATTATTATTATTATTCCCCACCCGACTTTATTAC